CGGGTGGATGTTGGTTAACATTTTTCGTCCATACATTTCTCGTTTGTATAGATGAAATCCTATTTGCCAGATACAGATCTATAAGGCGGGTGCGGTAATCTACGACATACCTGCGGTATGAAATGAAAAAGTCCTTGATTTCCTGATGGCTCACTTTTTTTCCCCTCTGAGACTAGTCAAAGTTCAGCTCAACTCCATCTTTTTAAAATGCTAATTCCTCCGATTTATTTGCAACCAACCAACCATTCCTCCTCCTATTTTCCCTGCTGGATTTACCTTGCAGTTTCACCCACATGAAGAATGCCATCAATATCAGTAGATAGTAAGATTTTACAATGCTTCTGCTGTTTGTCCAAAGGTTGCCTTTCCTCCCACCAAGTACGACGCCAGTGCAGATGGAATAAATAACAAAAATTCAACAGGTTTTTATTTCAACATCCTGCCCCTTTAATACTTGCTTGGGATAAATTAGGCTTCGCTGGACGTATTTTTCTGCAAAAATACGCGCAAATTATGAGATAAATTGGATCTCTTCGGAGAGTGCTTTCTGGAGCAAATCTTTCCTCCACTCCAGGGTGCAAAAGCAATAAAATAAGATCCTTTAAAACAGAGAGAGTTTGGACAGCAATTTCAGGGTTTCCAGCTCATGGATCCCATTACAGGCTAAGCAGAGACGTGCTCTCTCTTAACAGATTTTAAATGGAGGGGGAATATTAACACTATTCTCTACCCGTACCTATCAGCAATAAGATAATAGATGCACCTCTATACTCACCCCAAAAGGTATTTATTATTATTAAGTGGCAGCTGTAGTATCGTTTACTGGAGGATCTGGTAATAATCAGAAAGGTGAGGAGTTAGTGAAATACATGTTGCATTTATTGCAATTTTTTTTAAAGATTCTAGAATGAGATTGGTCCTGTCATTTGTAGGGTTAAGTGTTTCAGGGCTCTTTCTATAATAATCCCTCTCAACTACATGGAATCGGGTTTCACAATGAAGACAGAAATATTGACAAGGAATCGACTCCCAGATTCGTTTCAGTCATTGTTCCAGTAGCTACCTCTGCCAGGCAGCCAACAATTACATGTCCCTTTTGCTGAAAGAAAGGGGCCCTCAGAGAACTTAGAGCTACAGTAAGTCGTCTTCTCACTACTCTTATTAACCTTTATTTCTCAATCCCTGTTTATTGGAAGCCGTGAAGCCAGGTTCAATGGAGTTTCTTCGCAGTGTCACTGAGACCAGAATATTGGCCATATCAGCATAAAGTGAAGACACACATTTATATTCTGATGAATCCAACTCTCTCCCAGTGACACCTGGCAATAACAATAGAGTCATATTAGATCAATTGAGAATTTAGACAATTATTCAGTCGTCTTTTATTTTATTTCCTCCTTTTCATGGTAAAAGTGTAAACACTGGATGTTGTCCAAATGTGCTCCATTGATACCATATTGTACTGAGCTCTACAGATGAAAAAAATATACCTCCTTCCCCCACCATCACAATAAATAAATAAATAAACCTAGCATTGCCTTCTGGAACCAGCTGCCTCTGATTCAGATGGACTCGATTTTAAATTGAATTACAGGTGTTCTCAGCATAAATTCAGTCCCCATCTTCACCCCGCGCGCGCACACAAATTACATGGCCCAGTATGAAAATATTTCCTTTTACAAACAGCTGATCATTCTATTTCCATTTTTGAATGTCCTTTCACCCCACTCCATGTGCTGATCTTTTTGTACACCTGCCGCAGCCTCGCGCTCCCCCTGCCCCCAAAGGTAAGTGTTTTATAGCTCTCTATTCAAAAACTAACTTGCTATTTTACAAACACCTTTTAATTTCGTGAAACCAACTAACTGAAAAACTGGAGCAAAGACGGCGCTGAGACGTGTGGATGCGACATAAAAGCGATGGAATAAACTTCAAAGGTTTCAGTGGTGACTTTTCAACCTTTATTTATGTGCCTATTAATGCAATATCCATCACGTAGATATACATCTTTATCCTTTAAACTGATATGCTGGGAATCAATTAGATATGCAGATTACATTTCATAAGTTTCCAAATGTTAATCTTCCTGGCCCTTTGCTGTTAATTTTTTCTCCAAATGGTATTATGTTTCGGGGGGAAAATGTCCTTCAAACAATTAATCTTTAGGCTACTTGTCTCCAAATATTTACTAAGGCTGAAGGCAAGAAGGCTCTCTGGAGTTTGGGTCCCTTTTTGGTCACGTTTCTCCCAGACAGGACGAAGCAAAGGGGGGACAGTGTGTCCGCCAATGGATACCACAGAGGTAATCTTTATATGTTTGATATTTTACTAAGCTTTAGTGGAGCTGTTAACCCAGCATGGGGATTTTAAAAACCAGATCATACCCAACCACTCCAAAGGGAACATGTCACTTTGTAATTCTTTCATAGACATGTTGTCTCTTGCAACTTTCTCCCATTGCTTTGCACTGTCTTGAGCAGATATGAACAACACTTTAGAACATACACACACTTCACAGCTAGGGGCTTTCCAGTGCAGCTCTTTGTAACGTGTAGAAAAACAACGATGTTGCTGTTGGTTGGTACTGTTGTGTTTTTTAAGATTTATTTTCTTCTCGAGAACGGGAAAATCTGTCAAGTCTTTGGTTTCTCTTCAGCCCAATTGTAAATCTAAACGATGCTTCCTTGTTTAGTTTTTCGTGTCCACTGCTATGGATATTCCTTTGGTTAGCGTTATGGTGTTACTGTCTGAAGCCTATAAAATGCAGATACCCTGGTGCGCGTGTATTTGCTATGGCAATTGCCTAATTCTAGAACCAGAGGGAAGTCCTACATGTCCTATCTCATCCAGTAGTCCACTAATCATTACCTTTTGCATAGGATAGCATTTATCTTTCCCTGGGGACCTTTCATTTTTATTTCTCACTAAAGACCAGATTCTGCCACATTTACCTACCTTGAATAGTACTTTACTCCACAAGTAAATATCAATGACACCATTTGTAAAGTAAATTTCTACTATCATGCGAGTAAGAGCGTCAGAACCTTGCTCTAAATTGCTTTATCTTTTTATTTGTAAATAGCAACAGTTGTTGCACACTATTTGCTGCGGGTTTTTTTTTAAGGGAAGAGATTGGATTATGAATAGTTTCAGCTGGTTTGTTAGTGAAATTTGTTGGTAGATTGTAGAAGTTTCTTAATTTTCACTCCACATTACACCATGTGTCACATTATGTCTATCTATGGATATTCTACATTTTATTTATATGTGATGGAAAAATATGTAGTCCAAAGTGTGAGCCAAAGAAATTTTGAACATTCTTACAATACGAATCCCAAATTACTGGTCTCTCTTTGAAGTTTATCTTCAGAAAGGTTTTATAGTAATGTGTCCTTAATTCTGTTCCAAAAGGGTCGATATTTGTTCAACTGAGCCTGCTTCTGATTTGTTACAGCACAAAAATACGATTCTATCGAGTAAAATGTATTCCCTTAACCAATAGGCAAACACTTTCAGTCGGGGCTTCTAATTCTTAATGTATCAGAATAATGTCCAAGATCAAAGTGCATCCTTTCCTCTGTGAACCTTAGCTTCTCCTTAGCTAACCACAGAAAATCCTCAACACCTGGTTTGGAACATCCTCAAATCAAGAAAAAGGTGCATCCTTTATCCAAGATATATGGTTGCAAACTTCCAAAGCAGAAATTCCCTAGCTGGAAACAAAGCACCCTCTGTGCCCAGAGTTATGCTTTCTTTTATTTTGTCTGTTATTACTAGATACACAAAAAGAACAAAACAACAGGCATGGGGGGGAGGGGCACAGGACTCTTTCCTACTAAAAATCGACCAACAAAACCAGCAGCAACAACAAAATCTTCAGGCATCAGGTAAGGTAGAAACCATCAAATTCCTTTTTGTGAAAAAAGTGGCCAGATTCAAAATAATCGGGACAGAAAGATGTCTTGCTCCTTTATGAGTAATTTAGAACTACAATTCGACGTATGAATTTGTCTCTAGAAATTATTGCCTGATTTGCAATCGAATATATTGTCAAAAATATCAACTAAACACAAAGTGCAGAATGACATCTACCTAACGGATTCTTTCTTTCTTTCTTTCTTTCTTTCTTTCTTTCTTTCTTTCTTTC